AGTACATCCCATGCTTCTTTTGCATTTGTAATAGAAGCAATTTTCTTAAAATTTCCTTCATCTACTGTCTAATATATTAAGTGCAGGGCCTCTTCATCTTTCGTCCTTGCTTCCTTGAGTGCTGCCCTTTCAATTGCACTAAATACATCTTCATCACCTTAAACATTGGTTCCGTATAACCTTTCTCTACCATTTCCCATAGGACTTGGGATGCTAAGAGCAACATCATTTGTATACTCCAATTCTCATAATTCTCCCTTGTCAGTTCAATTCTCATAATTCTCCCTTGTCAGTCTCGGTAGTCGTGGCTGGAAAAAACTATTTGAGGTGGCCATATAGAATTGGAAACAAATATTTTGTCACTCAGTTTTTCTTGACTCTGATACCACTGCTGGGTAGAAGTTGTGATAAAATATCACTGTTTCACTCAAGTAAACAAACTTTCATTAATCTCAAAATATATAACTCATACAATAAAGCAATTCTCTCTTAAAAACTCTCTTATACAAACATTGAATTTTTTCTTCTACCCAATAGTTCAAAATACATACCAATATATCTATCTATAGGAAAAAACTAAGAAGAGTTCAAAATGATCAAGTAACATTCATCAACTTCCTTTATTGAAAGAAGAGTTCAAAATGATCAAGTAACTTCCACCTCCTTTTATAGAAGAAGAGTTCAAAATGATTAAATAACTTCACCTCCTTCAATAGAAGAAGAGTTCAAAATGTTTAAATAACTTTCATCTACTTTAATAGAAGAAGAGTTTAAAATAATTAAGTAACACTTAGGGCCTTTCTAGGCCACATTATTTGTGAAAAATACATTTTGTAATAGCAATTTGATTGAAAATGTGTGGTTAAAAGATAAGGAAAAGCTTTGAATTTGCGTGTAATGTTATTTTATTGAAAATGTGTGATTAAAAGTAAGAGAGAAAAATACATTTTCAAAATAACGGGAATCAAACGGGGGCTTAATAGCTCTCAATCAATAACAAGTTTTTCCTTAACATATAAAATTCTTCTGTCCAATAAAAAAACCTTTGCTTAACCAAGTTGCATTTTGACTAAGTCATATATATTCATGATCTTCATACTTCTAAAGTTTCTTGATAATTCAGGGAGTTCTTCTTATTCCTAAAATTTCCTGGGTCAAGTTTATACTACTTTCAATACCCATTAAGCTCCGACGAACAATCTGATCAAATTAAAAAAAAAATGAACATGCAAATTTCAAAATTAGTTCGCTGAAACAAGTCACCATCTTCCAGGGACATGTCAAGTAACAATCGCACATTGAATAAAGAAGAAAATATAAATCAACTTATAAAGATTTGAACTCCTCTTGATAAGGTTGATCTTTTATGATGGAACCCCAAATCTTGACATCGGTGACTGTATGATTGCTTTAATATGTATGATGCAAACTGCAAGACTTTTCCCACTCTCTTAGACCATGTTTGTTTCCAATTTTTTTGCCCAACTTTAATCTATTTTCGGATTGTTGCTCTACCGTCAGCCATAATTGTTGACTTCTTCTCTCACAATAGGTCTACATGCTGGCAAAAAAGGAGTCAAAATGCTTTATTTTCTTTGAACAATTGAAAACAAACAGGGCTTAATAATTCAAATAATTGGCCATCAAACAAATATGATGCTTTTACGAGACATAATAATGCAAAGCATTTTCAACAGTAATTAAAGCAATTGCTAGTCACTTACCCTTAACCAGAATTTCATTATAATTTATTCACTTAAATTTTGCTTTTTGTTTCAATGACCTCAATCCAGCCTACTTGAAAATTTGATGTGGTGGGAGACACCGTAACTTAGTTCCGCCTTAGCTATTGAGAGTACGTTAGGTCACCATTTTTTAAAATTTATTTTTAATTACATGTTCTTACATAAAATAACTTTACATATAAAAAAAGTATAATTTTTTTAACCATATATTCTCCCCAAAATCACTATTTCAAATATATTTTTCTCCAAAAATGAGTTGAAATAGGGAATGAATTGTTACAGGTACTTGGGGTACATCAATTGGGATCTAAAAGTTGGCACTGGTGTCTGGGGGTAATGAATGATAAAAACAATTGTTTCCTTCAAAGTTTTTGTTATATTCAATGTTAGTTCGACATGATTTTTAAAAAATCAAAAAGAATTTTTGAGATTTAAAAGTAACTTTTGGACACGTTTGAATAATTTTATAAGAGTGCTTATTCTAGTCAGCAAAACTTTTAGAGAAAACGATCCAATATGACTTCATCTAGAAGAATTTTTGAAATAGAAAACTCACTTAAAAATTAGTGTTCAAAAGAAAGAAAAAATAAGGTTGTTTTTTTTCGAAATCTTTTCTATAGAAAGCAAAAGTAAAAATCATGTCAAACGCCTTCAATAGATTATATCCATGTCTCTATGGGGAGAAATACTTCAGTAGGACGATCGTACCGTCCACGTGGTGCGACCGTCCTATAAGGGAGGACAACTTTGATAGGTGGCCCATCACACACCTTGAGGTGTGTGTGTTACTCACTAAAGTGGCGGTGTGACCACCCTATTGCAGTATTTCTCATCCATTGGGTTTTCATTCATTTCTTTGTGTTGACACACTAAAATGCAGCCCAAATCAAATAGCCCAAAGAGTGAAGCCCAATTGGGGAGTCCAGGATAAAGGTCCAAACATGATTATTGATGAATGCAATGGAAGCCCACGAACACAATAACATCATCGTCCAAGCTTGTAAAATGCCCAGAATCTGAGTTAATGGAGTGCCTTATGGTCGTCCAGAGCGATGACCCCGTTCTCGCCCAAACTTCGAATCGCCCAAGATCTTAGCAAACATAAAATATTATGGTTATCCAGAATAGCAGTTATTGAAGCAGTTATTGAGTAATCTTATCACATTCCATGATTCAAGGAGCCCAGCTGAAGGCGGTTGAACGACAAAGAGTAATGGCAGCAGTTAGAGATGGCAATTCCACGACAAGTTAGCCACCATAAAGAAAGTAGGTAGTTATAAAGCAATCAAGCAGTTTCCAAGCGGTTTGTCATGAGAAAATCATCAAGGGAATATAAAAAGGAAGAGAAGACATAGAGAAAAAGAAGGAATCAAAACACTCTCAAACAGAGAATATGTAATTTTAATTTCTTAGCTTAAATTTAAACACTTCTTTTAGTACTCGTGTGCTTGCGCCCATTAAAGTCAATCTGTTTATTTCCAATTGTAAATCATAGCCAATAAAACACCCTTTTTTGGGACTTTGTCTCAAGAGGTCTGTTCCTTACACAATCGTCTGATCACTTTTTTAATTGTTAGCGACTACCCGCGCAAAACAATTTGGCATGCCCAGTGAGACATTGGTGTTTGGTGTTGAGGATACAAAAAGTGAAACAATATGCCTCACAAATCTGATATGGAAGCAACAACTCAGGGAGGAGTCCAGTCTGTGATCGAGCGATATGAGGAGCAGCAAAGCTCTCCACGAACAGAGGGATAGAGTCAGAGCAGTCACGGTCATTATGAACCAATGACAGAGTTGAGTCCTCAAACCATGCGTGCATTACTTGGAGAACTCACACAGGATGTCGTTGAACAGGTAAATCTACGAAATATTCATAATATGAAAAGATTTACCCAAAATGGGAATGCACATTATGACAACATGGCCAGACAACTGAATACATTAAATGAAATAATGAATAAGTTTGCAGGCCAAATTTGTCAGCCAGTTGTGCCTATTGCAAGTCACTTTCGAGCTAGGACAATTGTCGGACATAATTCTCCAGTCCTAAGTCCAAATCAAGGGATAGAACTACCTTTTGGTTCGTCTACTTCAAACCAGGAGGATGGTGTAACACCGAATCAGAATAGTGGTAATGGTACATCTAACTTGGGGGATAACCTAAATGTAAGAGACAATGTCCTAAATAATGGACAGAATATCCCACGTGTTAATAATGAAATAAATATTCAGGCTAATGGTAACAATGACCCAAATCATGGCAATTTTGTTGCCAACCAAGGACCAAACATCAAGCCTCAGGTAAATCAACCGATCAACCAACCTGTAGGAATTCTATATGACCCGAACGTCATGTTGAGAAATCAAATTATGAAAATAGTACAGGATCAAATGGCTTTTGGGGTACGTCCTGTCATTAGGCTGACTTACACATAGCCATATCCTGATTGGGTAGACCAAGCATATCCATGGCCTAGAGGGTATAAAGTGCCAGAATTCTCATTATTTACCGATTTAGGAGAGATGTCTACTCTAGAACACATAGGGTAATTCACACAGCAAAGTGGTGAAGTAATCGACTACCATAAAATGAGGTTGTTCCCTAGTTCATTAACAGGAGTAGCTTTCTCCTGGTTCATCAATTTGCAAGCGAACTCTGTTCAAACATGGCAACAATTGGAGTAATTGTTCATTGCTCAGTTTTATAAGACTGAGTCTGAAGTTACTTTGGCCAATTTGGCGAATCTACGTCAAATGCCAAACGAATGGGCAGAAGGTTTCCTTCAAAGGTTCAAGACAGCAAGAAGCAAATGTTTTGTACCTTTGCCCAAAAAGGAGTTTGTTAAAATCGCTCAAAGTTGTCTAAGCTTTGATTTGAAAAATAAATTCCAAGACAGGGAATTTCCTGATCTTTTCCAATTGAGCGTAAACGTGATTAGGTATGAAAGATTAATAAGAAAAGAAGAGCAAATGAAAAATTCTAACAAGGGGACTTATTATAGAGACTCAAATTTTGATGTTCATACCATTAATGACGAGTATTACGATCAAACCGAAATGTGTTTGGCCGAATTAATCAAAGGAGATGTGTATACTTGTCCTATAATGGCTAAGCCTAGATCGTCGGGCAAGGATGAGCCTATAAAAGATGAAAACAAAAAGGCTAGAACATTCTCATTTGGTGTAACCAAACCTGACCTAATATTTGATAAACTATATAAGGATAAGCAAATAAAGCTGAACGATAAACATAAGTTGCCAAGCCCTGAACAAATCAAGGGTAAAAAATATTGTAAGTGGCATAATGCATGGTCACATTTGACTAACAACTATTTGGTTTTTCGCCATGTGTTACAGGATGCCATTGAATCAGGACAAATTACGTTCGAGGATAAGAAGAAGATGGCAGTGGATGAAAACCCTTTTCCACAGCCACTTGGGGTGAACATGGTGACGACTGGTTTCAAAAACAAGTTACCAAAATTTAAGTTGGTTATAGATGATGGAGAAGAGGACCCTAGGCCACCCCTCAGTATCTTTGAACGTATCAAAGGGAAGGAGCCTAAAATGGATGAAGACATCCTCTGTGCAAGATGTAAAGGAGAAGTGAGTGAAAATACAGAGAAACCAGGGATATGGCAGCATCACCATCGCCCTAGTTTTTTCCCAAACGCTCAGCCTGTTAGAGGGCGAGGTACATCATTCTATAGGGGACCGCCTTTTGAGAGGCAGTTCAGGTCAATAAATAATGGGAGAACATTCAGGCTGCAACCTCACCAACCAAATGTATGGCATTCATTCCAGTATAATGCAGGAAGGGTGATACCCTTCAACGAGATGACTAGAACCGAACAAAGGCATTTTCAACGAAATTATGGATGAATGATGAGGCAACTACAGGGAGTACCACGTCCTAAGGTGCCTAAACTACTCGAGGTAGCCAATCAAAATGTTCTCGAAGACAGTGAAGAGACTGGTACAGGTGAATCGATGGAAGAATTACTAGAGAGTTCTTCTGGGAGATCGAAGTTTGAGCGAGACAGAAGGGATGAAGAAGATCCAGATCAGCCCCTTACTATTCAGTTCGGTACGTTACCTCCTATCATGACTAATAACTATTTACTAGCCAATGAGTTCAAGAACAAAGAGAAAGAAGAAGAAGAAAGGGAGGATAACGAAGAAGAAGCATGGGTTTTGGAATGTGAAGAAGGCCAAACTTCTAGAAGGGACTACAATGATGAAGAGGATGATCGTATGACGAACATCGTAGAGGAAATTAATCTGGAAGCAGAAAGAAGAAAGAGAGGAGTATCGCGCAATACCCTATCGAAGCAACTACATAGAGAAGGTGTTCATGAAGTGGATTTGTTGGGAGAACCATCTGGGCATTCTTTCGATTATTGATGCGAACCCCGTTGTAATGGAAACTACGAAACCCACAACGAGATTGATGTGGAACCCAAGAACGCCAATACTAACCCGATTTTGGATCTTGAACCCTAAGAATTGAACCAAGAAACGCTAGATTAGCGAAGAACCTAAAACCCTTTGATTACAATTAAAAGAACCCACAATCTGATTGATTAGAATGCCACAAGAAGTTGAATTTTGATAAGTTCCAAGATTGTTCAAGAAGAACAATAAATTGAAAGAATAAATTTCTCTCTCTATAATATTAATTCAAGCAAAAGTCAAAAGTTGTTACAATGAAAAATAATCTCCGATTTATACTAATGAATAAAAACGTCCAAAACCATCAAATTATGGTAATAATTTGATTTCATAAGAATTCTATCGAAACTAGGAAATTCGACCAAAATTAGAAAATTCGCCAATTTTTTTGGTTTGTGCGGCCGCATGGTGCAAATCCATGCGGTCGCATGGTTTAACAAAAAAATAGTATTTGTTTTCGGTATACCACTGTGCGGCCGCATGATGTTTTGCCTGTGCGGCCGCACATGTTTGTCTTCAGCCTCCGATTTCGTCGCTTGATAACAAATTGATCCAAGTTGAGTCGGCCTTCGACCTGAACATGAAAGTTGCTCCATTTTGAGTCCCGAATAAAGTTCCATCAATGGTTTCTTGAACGAACAATCCCATCACTTGTTTCACTTGCTTTGTCCTTGATCGAGTCATTGGTCCGCCATTGACTATCAACGGGTCTTGTCTCGCACTTGCCTTCGTCGGGCTCGACTCCTGGATCATATCATCCCCTCCCTCTTCAAAAGGATTCGTCCTCAAATCTAAACCTGCATCAAACAGAGAGAGATCAATTACATTAAAAGTAGCTGAAACATTATATTCACCAGGTAAATCCACTTTGTACGCATTGTCATTGATCCCCTTAATGATTTGAAACGGTCCATCACCTCGTGGTTACAATTTTGACTTTCTCTGTTCTGGAAAATGCTCTTTTCTGAAATGCACCCAGACCCAATCTCCAGGCTCAAATGTAATGCATCTTTTTCCTTTATTTGCTTTTGATGCAATCAGATTTCCTTTCTCTTCGATCTACATCCTAACCTTTTCATAGAGTGTTTTCACCATCTCAGCTTTTCGTTTCCCATCCAAGCTACCTCGTTCATGCATAGGAAAAGGCATTAAATCTATAGGTGTTAGTGGATTAAAACCATAAACAATTTCAAAAGGAGAAAACGAAGTAGTAGAATGTGTAGCTCGATTATATGCAAACTCTATAAACGGTAAACACTCTTCCCATGATTTCAGATTTTTATTGATCACTGGCCTAAGTAGTTGAGTCATAGTTCGATTAACTACCTCAGTTTGTCCATCTGTTTGTGGGCGACATGTTGTAGAAAATAATAGCTTAGTTCCTAACTTACTCCACAGAACACGCCAAAAATGACTCAAAAACTTCAATTCCCTATCAGACACTATACTTTTAGGTACTTCATGTAAACGTACTATTTCCCTAAAGAATAAGTCTGCAATATTAGTAGCATCGTCAGTTTTATGACATGCTATGAAGTGCGCCATCTTACTAAACCTATCGACCACTACAAATATTGAATCCCGACCCCTTTTTGTCCTAAGCAAACCTAACACAAAGTCCATAGATATGTCTACCCAAGGTTCACTAGGTACAGGCAAAGGAGTATACAAGCCATGGGGTTGAACCTTAGACTTAGCTTTTTTACAAGTTATGCACTTTCCACATATTTGTTCTACGACATGTCGCATTTTAGGCCAATAAAAATGTTCCTCTAACATGTCTAAGGTCTTTTGAACCCCGAAGTGTACCATTAAACCACCCCCATGTGCTTCCCTTACCAATAATTCATGCAAAGAACAATTAGGAAAGCACAACTTATTTTCCCTAAACAAATATCCTTCATGCCTATAGAATTTATCAAATGCACCTTTGTCACATGAAGCATAAATACTAGAAAAATCACAATCAGATTCATACATGCCCTTAATATGTTCGAAACCAAGTAATTTAGTACTTAATGAATTTAAAAGCACGTACCATCGAGATAACGCATCAGCAACTATATTTTTGTTACCTTGCTTATACTTGATGACGTAGGGAAATGTCTCGATAAAGTCCATCTATCTCGCATGTCTTTTGTTCAACTTACCTTGACCTCACAAATGCTTTAAAGATTCATGATCGGTATGTATCACGAATTCCTTTGGCCATAAGTAGTGCTGCCAAGTCTCCAATGCTCGAACAAGTAAATACAGCTCCTTGTCATGTGTCGGATAATTCAATTCTGCCCCACTCAACTTTTCGCTAAAGTAAGCAATAGGTCTCCTTTCCTGCATTAACACTGCTCCTATACCTATTCCTGATGCATCACACTCAACCTCGAATGTTTTATCAAAATTTGGTAATGCCAAAACAGGTACCTAACATAGCTTATCCTTAATGGTGTTAAATGCAATTTCTTGAGATTCTCCCCAATGAAAACCTACACTCTTCTTTACTATTTTAGTCAACGGTGTGGTAATGGTGCTAAAATCTCTTACAAATTGCCTATAAAAACTAGCTAATCCATGAAAACTCCTAACTTCAGTTATAGTCTTAGGTGTTGGCCATTCCTTCATAGATTTTATCTTTTCTTCATCAACTTCCACCCCGTTAGCACTAACCACAAATCCTAGGAAAACAACTCTATCCATGCAAAATGTGCACTTTTTGAAATTAGCATATAGTTGTTCCTTTCGCAACACAACAATCACACAATTTAAATCTTCTAAATGCTCATCTAGGTTTTTGCTATAGATTAAGATGTCATCAAAATAAACTACAACAAATTTCCCAATAAAAGCACGCAATACATGGTTCATTAAACGCATAAAAGTGCTAGGTGCATTAGTGAGTCCAAACGGCATAACTAACCATTCATACAATCCATACTTAGTCTTAAACGCCGTTTTCCATTCATCACCCTCCCGCATGCGAATTTGATGATACCCACTCTTAAGATCAATCTTACTAAAAATGCAAGCACCATGCAACTCATCAAGCATATCATCTAGCCTAGGTATTGGGTGACGATACTTTATCGTGATATTGTTGATAGCTCGGCAATCCACGCACATTCTCCAAGTCCCGTCCTTCTTAGGCACTAGCAAAACAGGTACATCACATGGACTCATGCTCTCCCTGACATAACCTTTGCTCATCAACTCCTCCACTTGCTTTTGAAGCTCCTTCGTCTCCTCGAGATTGCTTCGGTAAGCTGGTCGATTCGGTATGACAGCTCCGGGTCAATCTGGTGCTTAATGCCTCTGATTGGGTGGCAATCCACTTGACATCTCCTCAGGAAATATATCATCGAACTCCTGCAATAAAGACTTAACCAAACTAGGGAGGGATGTGTTAGAATCCTCGAAATTGAGGGGGGGTATCATTTGCCTATTATCGCTCATAGCCTTTTTCAACTCACTCTCTTTTGCATAGAAGTTGACCTTTGGCTTTTCTCTTCGCTCAGCTGACTCTTTTTCTCTCCTCTCAACTGACTCATTTTCTCTCCGCTCATGTGGCTTCTTTCTCTTTTCTCCACTCTCAACCACCTCACTATTTTCTCTCTTAGTCATGGTTTCACTATTGCCTCTCCTTTTTCCTGACTCTCTTATTCTCTCGTCTTCCTCACTTTTCAGCTTGATTTGATCTCCATACACTTGTGCCGGTGTTAATGGCGCAAGAGTAATAGTCTTCCCATCCTTGACAAAGCTATAACAATTCCTATATCCATCATGTGTGACCCTTCTATCATATTGTCATGGTCTTCCTAACAAGATATGACCCACATGCATAGGTACCACATCACATACTACTTTGTCACTATAACTCCCAATTGAGAAATTAATTAAAACTCTTTTATTCACCCTAACTTTCCCACTTTCATTCAACGATTGCAACTTATAAGGCCTAGGGTGTCTTAACAATGCTAGTCCTAATTTCTCAGCTAAAGTTGTGCTAGCTACATTCGTGCAACTCCCACCATCAATAATCATACTACATACCTTATCGTTGACGTAACAACGTGTGTGGAATATATTTTGTCGCTGCTACTCCTAATCATCCACTTTGACTTGAGTGTTAAGAGCTCTCCTTGACACCAACGATTCCCCAATAGCAAACTCCAATATTTCTTCTTCTTCAACGTCCTCCAATGCAGGCATGTCTCAAACTCTCCTTCACTATCACTCACCACCTCTCCATTATCCAACAACACCATTACCCGTTTATTTGGGCATTGAGAAGCAATGTGCCCTGACCCCAAGCATCTGAAACACTTGATGTCTCGATTCCTTGATGGTTGTGAATCTATTTTGGGTGCTGTTTTGCTAGCACTTTCTTCTTTCCCTTTCTGCCACTCATTCCTACCTTTAGATACAGCTTTATCACCTTTATTGTTGTTGTTCCACCCTGGCTTCCAAGATGAATTAACACTCGAAGTTCCTAACAGCTGCCTAGCTACCCTTTTCCTCTTCAACTATCTCTCTACCTTCATAGTCACATGCAACATGTCTTCCAACTCCACATAATGTTGCAACTCCACTACATTGGCAATTTCCTTATTCAATCCATTTAAGAATCGTGCCATGGTAGCCTCCATATCCTCCACCACATTGGCCCTAATCATGAGTATTTCCATCTCCTTATGATAGTCCTCTACACTTTTTGACCCTTGATATAGACCTTGCAGTTTTTGATGGATCTCTCGGTAATAGTGGCTAGGAGCAAACCTCTTTCTCATCAATGACTTTAATTCCTCCCAAGTGCTGATTGGTCTTCCCCCACTCCTACGTTGTAAAGTAATCACTTGATCCCACCATGAAATTACATAGTCACTGAACTCCAAAACTGCTAACTTCACCTTTTTCTCCTCCGAGTAGTTATAACACTCAAAGATCATTTCAACCTTTCTTTCCCACTCCAGGTATGCCTCGGGATCACTCCTTCCTTTGATTAAAGGAACTGTCATTTTTATATTTCCCAAGTTTCCATCCAACTCCTCTCCGCAATCATTTCGACCCCGTCTGTCGAACCTATCTCCTCTAATCCTCATCCTTCCCTTCTCGACACCGTGAAATTCATCTTCGCCCATGTCACTCCCATATCCATACTCCTCTCGCCTTTCCCTCCTAGAATCTATCCGGTCCTCTGGCATTGGATACATTCACTCGATGCCCCGACTAAGATTAGCCACCGATGCATCTAATCTATTCATCCAAGCCTCCTGCTTCTCCAACCTATCTCTCACATCTCCAAACGCCCTCTCAAACCTTTGCACTAAATCCTCCGATACATTGCTATTATTGCCTTGTCGGCTTGAGTTTGATTTTGCCCTTTTTGACATCCTAACACTAAAATTTTATTTTACTGCCTCACCAAAAGTCACTCGGAAACACACAAGGGCTTTTACCCTCTATTAAGCTCACCTCTCTGCCTTTTACCACTCAATTCTTTCAACAATTGCTTCTAGGAACAATCAATGAACTCAATCAATCAATCAATTCGTGTAGATTTCTCCAAACTAGATGTGACTCAATAATTGTAACAAAGGACTCAAAGAAAACTTTTAAAACTTGATTTAAATTGAAGGAATGGAATGATTCAATGTGTCCAAGTAATTTAGAAATGATAATGAATAATAAAAGTTGCTATTTGACGGATCATTAATATTTAACAAGTTTTTTTACTGTACAGATGAACAGTACCGTACGGATGAATGGTAATTTTTTTTTAGATCCGAAAATCAATAACAAAACCAACAAAGAAAACGAAAACTGATTCGGGCAAAAATCGAGCCTAGAAACGAAATTTGAAGATTTTGGTGAAACTTTTGGATCAAAAGATCAAGAAAACCTTCTGGACACAAGAACACAAGGAATTGAAAAAAAAATTAGAAAACAAAGGATATAATCTGATTAAATTGGAGTCAAAGCTCTGATACCAACTGATGCGAACCCCATAGCAATGAAAACTACGAAACCCACAACGAGATTGATGCGGAACTCAAGAACGCCAATACTAACCCGGTTTTGGATCTTGAA